AAACCTGAGGGCAGGTAATTATCTAAACCAAACAAGTGAGAAGACACAAATTAAGTCAGTAAAGAAAATTCTGGTGACTTAAGGGACAACAGCAAGTTTGTACTGATAGTGGTGGAGGAACAGAAAGTAAAAATCATTTTGGGGAATAATGACCAAAACTTTTTCCCCAACCCATTTGTCCAAGAAGTTAGGTGATCCCTCTGTAGAATAAATGCACAGAAAATTATACCCAATCTTATCATGGTCAAACTGATAAAAAGAAATACAAAATAAAGAGAAAAATCTTGAAAAACCTGAAGAGTAGGGGAGACCCATTGTGTACACAGAAACAGGGAAGATAGATTGACATCAGAAATACTGTTGTCCTGGTGAGGGGAAGGTGGCTCAGTGGTAGAGTGCATGCCTTGCATGCATGAGGCCCTCAATTCGATTCCTCAGCACTATATAAGCAGAAAAAGCTGGATGTGGCACTGTGGTTCAAGTGGTAGAGCTCTAGCCTTGAGCTGAAGAGCTGAGAGACAGCGTCCAGGCACAGAGTTCAGGCCCTACGACTGACAAAAGGAAGAAAGAAAGAAAGAAAGAAAGAAAGAAAGAAAGAAAGAAAGAAAGAAAGAAAGAAAGAAAGAAAGAAAGAAAGAAAGAAAGAAAGAAAGAAAGAAAGAAGGAAGGAAAGCAAGGAAGGAAGGAAGGAAGAAAGGAAAGAAAGAAAGAAAGAAAGAAAGAAAGAAAGAAAGAAAGAAAGAAAGAAAGAAAGAAAGAAAGAAAGAAAGAAAGAAAGAAAGAAAGAAAGAAAGAAGGAAGGAAAGCAAGGAAGGAAGGAAGGAAGAAAGGAAGGAAGAAAGGAAGGAAGAAAGGAAGGAAGAAAGGAAGGAAGGTAGAAAATACTGTTGTCCTGAAGACAATGGAAAGACACACCATGGGAAATAGGAGATCATTTGGGGATGTGTAAAGCTTTCAATGCTGGAAGGACTCTGGCGGCAAGATACAGCAAAGTTGCCCTTATGAAGTATATCTTCTATAATCCTATATGTGTACCCTCAACTCCTGCCATATATATAGTATCTCAGTAGAATGTCCAAACACTTTCAACAGAAAAAAAAAAGAAGTCATAATAAGAAAGGTGATCAAATCAAGGCTGGGAGCATAGCTAAATAGTAGAGCACCTGCCAAGCAAGCACCAAAGTCTGAGTTTAAATATGAGTACTAGATAGATGTTGGTGGCTCATCCTTATAATCCTAGGCTACTCAAGGAGTCTGAGATCTGAGGATCGAGGTTCAAAGCCAGCATGGGCATGCAGGAAAGTCCATGAGACTCTTATCTCCAATTAACTACTAAAAAAGTTGGGAATGGTGCTGTGGTTCAAAGTAGTAGAACACTAGTCTCAAGCACAAAAGCTCAGGGACAGCACCCAGGCTGTGAGTTCAAGCACACACACACACACACACACACACACACACACACGCACACACGCACACACACAAACACACACACATCAGAACCGCCTAAAAATCATAATTCATAGAAAGGTGACAAGTTGATTGTGATAGCTCAAGGCTGTAATTCTTGCTACTTGAGAGGCAGAGATTTGCAGGGAAAGGAAGGGAGAAGGGGCCAGGGATCCCAGTTCAAGGCAGCTCAGGCATAAAAATATATATGACTATTTCTTCCAGTGGCTGGATATGTTGGTACACATCTGTTATCCCAGCAAGAAAAAGAAAAGCACAAATAAGAGGACCGCAGCCTAGTCTAGCCTGGGCATAAAGTTGAGACTTTATTTAAAAAATAACCAACACAAAAAAGGAGGGGCTGGAGGAATGGCTCAAGTAGTAGAGTGCCTGCCTAGCAAGTGCAAGGCCCCAAGTTCAAACCCTACTGCCACAAAAAAGGAACAAGACCTTAATGAGAACACATACAATAGAAAAGCATTTATATAAATTATGGTACATACCTTAAGATTCTTTGTATTCTACCATGTAAATATTGCATATTCTTCATATTGATTAAAAAAATCTCAAAAGAAAAAGGACTGGATATTGCTCCTGTAGTAGAATACCTGCTAGAATGTTTGAGACCCTGAGTTCAATTTTCAGTACTAGGAGGGCAGAGGGGGAGAGGGAGGAGGAAGGGGGAAGAGAACTCCTTTTATCCTCTAGTGCTTCAGTCACATGACTGTGTCCAACAAGCAAGTGGGAATGTGGGAATAGTGCTCCTGGAGGAGGTGCGAGGGCAGGGGAGGGGGGGATTACGGACTCCTGAACAATGTTCAGCACTGCACTTAGGCTGGGGTACATTTCCTATCTAGCCTCACATTCATCCCAAGCAGTAGCTATCAGCATTCCCTTTTTAGAAATGAAAAACTGAAGTTTCAAGGAGAATACAAGCTATCCAAGATTAGTGCCAGGGTTGGGATTTGTGCCAGGGTCAGCTAGCACAGCTTGCCACATTTTCCTAACCTGCAAGTCATCAGCTCTCCCCTCCACACTGGGCTATTCAATATGAGAACTCCATGTAGCCCACATGTGACCCTGTGCTCAGAATACTCATGGTCCAGGGAAGGAAGCAAGAAAAATTATAGCCAGCATCCACTGGGTCATGGTCTAGCCAAGGTCCCTAGTATTACACTAACATGGCACTCCTTAATTTTTACAATAGCCCTATGAGGTAGAAATTCTGCCCAAATGTTCTACACACACACACACACACACACACACACACACACACACACAGTTCCTTACAACTGCTTTTGCCTCTGGGTCTTCTATAGGTATTGCTCTTTTGTAATAGATGACACTAAAACTTAGCACTAAAACAATCCATGTGTCAGGATTTGGACACTGAACAGTGGAATGGCTTATCTCTGCTCCCACACATCCAGAGCCCTAAAAACAACTGCAGAGCTGAGAGTAATACAACAGGTATGGGTGACTTGATGGCTGGGCTGGAATCATCAAAAGGCATTTTTCCTCATGTCGAGGGGCCAGTGCTGTCCATCATTCAGCTCAAAGATCCTCATGACAGAGCCTCTGAAGCTACACCACCTATTTTCTTCCAGCACTGGAAGTCAGGTAGCCATTTCACTGTATTCTACTGGTCCAAAACACAAATTCACTCACGATTCAAGGAAACAGATGGGATAGGGAATAGCTCAGGTGGTAAGAATGTGTGTTTAGCAACCCAGAAGCCCTGGGTTCAAATCTCCAGTACCACAGGGTTTTATTCACTTCTCTGCTTAGGCTATCTTCTCTCTACCTGCGAATTCTGAGCCACCCTCAGGCTTGAGCTTACTTCATCAGTGAGTAACTCTAATTGACCCTTCCCAGACTCACCAGATCTACCTATGACTTGTCCCCCTAGAAACCAACACTTCTTACACACCACACTCAGACTGTCTCCCAGACAGCCATGAGAACAGGGATCTAGCAAAAACATTAAAAAGAGGAGAGAGGGGTGAGGGAAAGAAAGAAAGGGAAGAAGAGGAAGGGGAAGAGAAAGGAGAGAGGGAGGAAGAGAAAGGAGAGAGAGGGAGTAAGGAAGAGAGAAATACATGCCAACTTCCCAATGTTTCTTCAAAAGATGGATAAACCTGAGCCTATCAGAGCAGCAGACATCTTTACCCCATGGTATTGGAGGGAGAACTTGTGACTCTTCCACCCATTTCTCTGGCTGATGTGGTATTCTGTAAGGACTGGTATCTCTAAGAGAAGGAACTGAAGAATGGGAAAAATGAGTGCCTGAGCAGTCTGGGAAGAAATGGGCAGGAAACAAATCTGTTCCCTATAGAGAGAAATGGCAGTCTTGAGGAGGGGGAAAGCAAAGTGGACTCTGTCTGCCTAAGTGCCCACCAATGAAGCTCATGGTGCCTTGGATGGAGAGAGTGCCCTGAAACTTTCTCCAGTTTTCCCCCAGATGTCATCATCACTTCTAATATGTTTTTAAGAAAGAAAGAAGGATCATCACCAGTATTTCTCACGCTGTAGTCCAAACAGATGGTGAGCCATGTCCTGGATGTCTGGGCGCTCACCCTCTTCCTACCTCCTCACCCCTGCAGGGGAGTCTAGCAGCAGCCCTGGCTCCTCTTTTCTCTGGCCAACCTGACAGGGAGATAAGTCTAGAAGACTCTTGGTGGTGGGGCGCACTTCTTTCCTGCTCTAACCTGCTGAGTGCCAGAGCTCCAGTAATGTGACTCCACACCGAGGAACACGGAGGATCCCAGTATTTGTTCCTAGGAGAGCCCCACAAGTGACGGGCAATAAGAACAGTGAGGCTGTCAAAGTTATACATAAAGGCTCAGAATATAAGTCTGGAACTGCCCAGCCCACAGATCCATAACCCTGTGCAAACCCTTTTCCAAGTGACCTCAGGAAGCCTGATGAGAGACCACTAGGGGAAGGAATTGACTCATTTACTGCTGTAGGGACAGGAGCTGGAGGTGATGGCTTCTCTCCAGCAGGATCCTACCCTCAGCCATGGTTCTTCTACTGTGCTGAGCCACTGCCTCTGGCTAACCTTTAGCCCTGGGCACTTTCCCCAGGGATGCAAGAGTAGAATGAGGCCTCTGAGAAGGGGGCTGAAGAGGGGAACCAAGGGTGGGCTGCTGTCCTGAGACCAGGGCTCCCAGAGCAGTGCAAGGAGGCTGGCGAGAGATACGCAGGAGAGTTCTAGAGCTCCAGGCTTCAGCCAAGCTCTGTGTACAGCTGCAGCGGATCTAAACCCATTACCTGAGTCAAAGGGGAAGCGCTCTGCCTCCACAGGGTGCCCCGGGAGCTGCTGGGCTTTGGGGAGCAGGCGGGCCAGAAGCAGAGCTGGCCAGGCTGCCGGTGCCAAAGAAGGAGGGGGGCCTGGAGTCTGCCAAAGCAGGCTGATGGGAGGGAGGGCTGGGCCAGCTGGGGCCGGAGCTAGTGTGACATCACCAGGCGGCCCGCCCCTGTCTGGGGCTGAGGGGAGGCCCAGAGCCTTTCTGGGCCTGGGGGATCCTCTTGCACTGGTGGGTGGAGAGAAACGCCTGCAGCCAACCAGGGTCAGGCTGTGCTCACAGTTTCCTCTGGCGGCATGTAAGGGCTCCACAAAGGAGTTGGGAGTTCAACTGAGGTGCTACAGTCGGCCTGAGGATGGACCCCAATCCCTGAGTGGGGCTGCCTGAGCTGGGACCTGCCGAGCATGATACTGAGGCAGCTGCTGACCGCACTGTGAGGGAAAACAGGGTTGAGCAGCCCCGGAACCGGCTGCAGGGCAGGCCAGTGAGGCAGGGCTGCGAAGGAGAGGAGGCCAGTTCGGCCTGCGACTTGAGACCCCGTGGAGGCCATGGCCGGGCCCCGCTGACGACAGGGGACGGGTGAAGCATGTGAAGAGCTGCCCTGGGAGCCAAGCAGTAGGGAAGAGGTAAGAGGCCAGTTCTGTGCTCTGCAGCAAGGGGCAGGGGGTGGAGGGCAGCAACTGGTCCCCCAACTGGGGCTCAAGACTTCTGTCCCTTCCAGGTGGGGCTGTGTGCTGCTGGATCCCCTGGGGGACACTCCCTGTTTTCACTTGGAGCCAAAGAAGGCATCTGGCCAGGCAGGACTGTGGCAGGAGTGGTATTTGAGACACAGGTTGTGACACTGAGGACTTCAACATTAGTGTCCCCACTTTCCTCCTTCAGACAAAGAGCTGTTGGGTGAAGGCAGGCATCCCTGGGGCACAGGGTGGCAGTTGGGGTGTGCCTGTATGCAGCTATGTGTTGAAGGGACAGCAGGCTGCAGGGTATCTAAGGACTTGGCTAGTGGTCTTCAGGCTCTGGGCTCCTATGCACCCAAGCAGGAGGATGTGCCAGGGAGAAATAAACGCAGCCTGGGGCAGCCAGATGCCCTTGGTCACAAAGTTCCCTGGGGCTGGCCAGCCCTGCTTATATCCCTCCAGCTGGCCAGGAAAGGTGCCAAGCATCGTGCGTAGGATGGGACATGTCACCCACAAGTTTCTTGTACTAGGACTAGGGTAAAGGGCTATCCTGACTTTCTCTGTGTGCACAAGGATGCCTGACCCCTCTTAGCAACGGATGCTCCCAGGTCTCCCACCCTTGTAGTCAAGAAATAGGAAAGATGAGTTTCCCTGGCAGCCCCAGGGGATGGCGCAGGCACCATATACTAAGTCCCTTGAAAGCACTCAGCATTAGATAACATTTCCTTCCCTTCTTCCTGTGATATGTGTGTCACAGGTCAGCTATTGCTTCTGCTGTGGGATTATGAGAGCTCCCAGAGGCCAGTTTGGTTACTCAGAAAAGGATCTCCTTTCACCAGGACTCCAAGGAAAGCTGAGAAAGCTACCAAATGCTCTCATACTTGGATTTTTCCAAGTGCAAAAAAGCCGGGCACCAGTGGCTCACGCCTGTAATCCTAGCTACTCAGGAGGCTGAGATCTGAGGATCCCGGTTCAAAGCCAGCCCAGGCAGGAAAGTCCATGAGACTCTTATCTCCAATAAACCATTAGAAAACCAAAAGTGGTGCTGTGGCTCAAGTGGTACAGTGCTCGCTTTGAGCTGAAGAGCGCAGGGACAGCACCCAAGCCCAGAGTTCAAGCCCCATGACTGACCAAAAAAAAAAAAAAAGGAAAGAAAAAAAAAGAAACTCCAACTGCAGGCAAAGCAGGGCTCATGCGCTGGCTTCAAGTCCTGGATTCTGTGTACTAGCCAAGTGGCCCTGGCAGAACACTTAGCCTTTCTAAACCTCAGTTTTCTGATCTGTGAAATGGGCTAAGAATAACACCCATATTAGGCCCTTGCCAACTGAGGATCCTCACAACTTCCCTGTAATGCAGACATTGCTAGGTGAGGAAACAGAGGAAGAGCATGGCCAAGACTGCAGGACCAGCTGGTGCCAGCACAAGGACTTGAACCTACTAGTGTGGCAACTCTGAGCCACACTCTACTGCTTTCTAGGCATTAGCATAGTGCCTGGCAGGTGGAGAATATGCAGAAACACTTGCCACCAGTGAGAATCAATGATCAGAACTATAAAGAGGGGACAGCAAGGACCCAAACTCTTTCTCTTTTAGACACATCCTGTTAAGATTTCCAGAAAGCTCCATTAGGCACAGCCAGTGCTGTGGCTACTACCACTGCCCACACTGGGGTGGGACGGTTTTATGTCTGAGGTTTGGGGCCACCTGCAGAATAAAGTACACACTAAAGACAAACATACACACATGCACCAGAGCCTCAGACACCAACCTCACAGACAGAGAGCATCCACACTACCCCCAACCACTGGACTCTACCCATGTATAGGGTACAGGAAAACGATAGTGCCGCCTGAATCCTAGAGGATTCAGTGGCTGGGTCAGTCCCGGAGTTGCAGAGGGACAGACAAAAAATTGGTTACAGCCAAGCCTGGCCATGGTGACAGGTCTTGCACCAGACAACATTGATGTAGCTGAGCCCAGGAAAGCAGTCCCAATGGACTCCTGAGCTGAGAGGCTTTGTGAGAGCTGCTAGCACAGGTCTGTGGGATTACTAAAGCCTCAAGTTTCTTGCCACAGCCCAGCTTGGTAGTTCACAGTGATACCCACGCAGCTCCAACCAAATAGTGAATCAACTAACTGTAAGAGCCTGGAAAACACGAGTGGATAATTACTCAAAAAAGGCAGTCTTGTGGAACAGATAAGTTGTGTAGAGTGCATGGCTCAGGGGAAAAAAATGCATAGCACTGCTGCAGGCTCAAGGACAGACAAAGGATCCCATGTTAGTTGATAAAGTTATCTACTGAGTTGAATGAGACACATTCCTCTCTCACTTCATCCTCTCCACAACCCAAGAAAGTAGTTTCAGCTTTAGCATCCCATTTTACAGATGGAAAAACAGATCTGTAGACTCCAAGTTAGCCTCAGAGAGGTTAACTTGACTGAGGTCCCAGTGGAGTCATTCTATGGGACCCTTACCCAGGATTGTCTGGCTCCAAAAACTTCTCCCATCTCATTCCACTGCCTGGTGCAAAGCACCTCCGCTTCTCTGTTACTGACTCTCTAACTCATGTCTTTTTTTTTTTTTGGTCAGTTGTAGGGCCTGAACTCTGGGCCTGGGTGCTGTCCCTCAGCTCTTCAGCTGTAGACTAGCACTCTACCACCTGAGCCACAGCACCACTTCCCACTTTTTCTGCTTATGTAGTGCTGAGGAATCAAACTGAAGGCCTCATGCATGCAAGGCAAGCACTCTACCACTGAGCCACCTTCCCAGCCCCTCTAACCCATGTCTCTAGCAGCCAAGTCCACCTTTTCTCTCCACAGAAGGTGGCCCAGGCCCTCTGAGATTCATGTTGCCAGGTTCCATGGAAGTTTGGCCTCTGGGGCTCTCAGACAGAGAGTGAGGAGGCTCTTAGAGAGGAGCCTTGGCTGACTTTACACATCCACGTGCCTGGGTGCGCCGTACTACTGTCTCCCACAGCTCAGGAATCTGGTACCAGCATGTGGGAACCAAGCGTGGGGAAGCATTCATCTATGCAACTGAGACAGCACTTACTCCTTCTCTGTGACCCTGCATGAGATTCCTTTAGAGCTGCAGAATCGGAGCTCACCTCCTCCCCTGAGCCACACTTGAGCAAGTCCTGAGCCAACACTGGGAGATGGCAACTGGTAGCTACAATAGAGCAAACACAACAGACAGCAGCCCCACCTAGGGCAGGTACATTCAGCCTCTGGCCTTTCTGAATCACAGCCCACTTAATCTGGAATGTTCTCAACTGACAGCAGACAATGGGGGTGGAGCTGCCATATAGAGAGCCTGCAGGCCAAGAGTAAATAATCACACTAACACACAACTGTGTGAGTCATAAACAGGAGGCCCCAGGAGCTGAGAGGGTCTCCCCAAGATAAACAAGGTTGTCACCATTTTACAGCAGTGGAAATGGAAGCTTGGAGGTGCAGCACCTCTCCCCATGGTCTTTTTAAGCAGTGGGCCAAAAAGCAAGCAAGTGACTGGGGGCATAGCTCAAGTGGTTCAGCATTTACCTAGCATATGCCAAGTCCTGGGTTCAATCCCTAGTACTGAGGGGGGGGAAAAGAAGCAAGCAAGGATTCCAATCTAAACCTGTGCCCAGCCTGTTACCATCCTTCAACCCAAACCTCAACAAAGACTTGATGCACTGAGAAGGGGATCTTGTATGGGAATTTATAGAAACCATCCCAAAGAGAAGACCCAGGCAGCCTGCAGTTTGTGGAGCTAGATGGGTCATGTCAGAAGCCTCATTTGGGAGCTGTTTCTGAGACAAAACTATATTCCTCTCTGGACTGAATTAATAACAGCTTTGGGGGAGGGCAGTTAAGATGTTACAACGTCCTGTTCCATACACACATCAACTGTGAGACACATTCTGATCACAGGAATGTTAAAATGGTAGGTGGGGAGCCCGGCCTCTGACAATTATGCCATTGTGCCAGGCCCATTCCCTGGTGAAATCAGCCTGTCTTGGGGCCAGCAGCCCCAGAGCCTCAGCCTCAGACAGGAAGGCACAGACCACCAGAATGAACTTTGTTCTCATCTCCAAGAGATGCCCAAGGACCTGCCTGCCTGTAGAAATGCCCAAAAGTCCTCCCCAAGGTGGTCTTGTTCCACTCCCACCCCAAAGGCTATGTCGGTTTTTGCCCATGCTGAAACTCTACAACACATCCCAGCTGAGTAAAGAGAGCTGTGAGACCGTGTCCCCAACACAAGGCTTTCAAGCCAGCCAGCCTGTGTACCCCAGGGAACATGCTGTTCCCTTTGGTACTGCTCGGATAGTCTCATGGGGCCCTTCCCCTCCCCCTCAACCTTAGCTCCCACCTCTCGCCCCCTATCTGGATGTTATCACCACATTAGGAATGCCTGCTACTGTGGGCCCCTTGAAGGCAGGGACCTCCCCCTTTCCCTGCCCCCCTTTTTCCTGCTCTATTTCCAACTTCCTGCACAGGGGCTGACCAGGAAAATATGTGAAATAAAAGAAATCCTTGGCTTCCTGTTTAATAGCCTAAGTGCCATCCTGGGTTCTGAGTATTCAATGGGGAATAACTCTCACCCTGCTTTTAAGAAGCTCACCATCTGGGACAGTCAGAGTCCTGGGTATTGAGGTGAGAAGCCACAACTGCCCCTACAAGCTGTGAAATTAACTGGCCCTGTGGGATCACCTTAGAAAGGAAGACAGACATATGGCAGGCTGGGCAGTGTGGGTAGATACTCAAGGCACAGAGCACAGTACTCTGAGGCAGAAGACACAACATGGCTGTTTGTAAGAAGGCCAGTGACTCCATCCCATGTGAGTTTTGCAAAGGCAGCCTGAAGTGCAAGCAGTGGACCATGAGGGTGGGAACACACAAAGGTAGGGAGCCACTGAGGATCATGTGGGTAACAAGCTGGCTCCAAGCCCAGTCCTCCCATGTGGCAG